GATTCTTTTTGGTCCAAAATGACTTTTAGCAAAGTGAATACATGTAATTGGACTAGGAAAATATTTCTATCTATTTAAGTCTTATAAAAACCACTCCAAACTAATTTTGATGCATCAAACCAAGGAATCAAGTCATTTTTCATCATGTAATGTCAAAACAACATTTCTTCAAGTTCAAAAGGCATTTTAAATGGTACAAGCATGTGTATTTAGATTATGCAAGTATGTTTGTGTGCTCAAACCATGTTAAAATCATTCCAATTCATTTTTTACTTATCAATCCAAGGTTTTCATGCATTTTTTCATTATGTAATGATGGAAATGTTTGAGCTCATTCAATGCAAGCTACCATATAATCTTAGAAACATACTTTAAGTCCTAAAGCAAAATTCTAATGAGATTTTTTACATAGCTTCATGATTTCGTGCTTGGACCTTGATTTTGATAATTGAGTTCTGTGTTTTGTATTGCCTTGATATGAAGGTGGATTTTCTCTTGATTTCTTTTTTATTTTAACTTGTCATTTTGTTTTTAAAATCAATACCTCCAAACTTGTCTATTATCATTAAAACCATAATAATGCGACACCATCAAATACATCATCCTTCAATGCATAGAATTTACATCTTTACTTTGATTTCACATGTTAAAGTCCTAACCTTCATTGTTTTATGGTTTTTAATATAAGAATATGTTTGAGCATTATTTTTTAATTTTTATTTTTGGAAATTGATGTTTGAGCATAATTTATAACTTATATATTGCTACAACATTTGTGTGAACGAATTAATGTAAAAGGGAAAATTAAATACCCAACAACTATGTTGTACCGACACCGACATGAGACACGACACGATACAACACGCTGAGAGATATGTGTCCTAAGTCACAGCTTGAGAAGGATCGCATGAGTGGAATTCCAAACGCTTCGACTATTGGATCCATCATGTATGTCATGATATGTATGACACCAAATGTCTCATATGCTTTGAGCATTACGAGCAGATACCAGTCTGACTCTGGAGAGGGTCACTGGACAGCAGTCAAGACCATCCTTAAATACTTAAGAAGAACTAAGGATGCGTTTCTGGTCTATGGTGGGGTTGATGAACTAACGGTGAAAGGGTTCACTGATGCCAGCTTTCAGAGTGACAAAGATGACTGTAAGTCACAATCAGGGTTCGTATTCACCTTAAATGGTGGGACAGTATCTTGGAAGAGTTCCAAGCAGGAAACAAAAGCAGATTCAATGACAGAAGCTGAATACATAGCTGCTTCTGAAGCGGCTAAGGAGGTTGTGTGGATCAAGAAGTTCATATCTGAACTAAGGGTGGTTCCAAGCATGGATGAGCCCATACAGTTGCTTTGCGACAACACAGGAGCCATTGCGCAGTCAAAGGAACCTAGGTCTCATCAAAGATCTAAACACGTGCTCGGCAGATATCACCTGATTAGAGAAATCATTGATAGAATGAATGCAAAGATGGATTATGTTCCCACAGATGATAACCTAGCTGATTCTCTGACAAATGTTGTTTCTCAGAGAAAACATGATAGTCATTATGAGGCTTTGGGTATACGACTTAGGTCTGATTGGCTCTAGGCCAAGTGGGAGCTTGTTAGGATATGGGTGTCCTAGAGACAATTTTTTTTATTAAATAAGGACATAAGATGTGGACCTTTTTGTCGCAAATAAACAATAAGCACTCTTTATCCTGTTTCATATTTTGTCTCGATATTATTGTTAATATATTATGAATAAACTGGATAAACCCCTTGGAATAGAACAGGTATTTCTTGAGTATCTGTGATGAGATCACGATTATGAGGATTCAAGGATACCACACGTTTATTCCTAATTCTATGTTCCTAGTCTAGAGACACTGAGAATGGGGATCAGTGATCTCGGGTAAGACTAACACGACTTTTCTACTTGTATTTGGATATAAGGTAAAGACCTCATCTGCTACAGATATGGAGATGTCTTAGCTAAAGTCGTGGGTGGACCTATAAGGGTATAGCTCGCACTGAACAGACCGACAAAGAGACTCTATGAGGAAATCTCACAGAGAGTATCATTAGAGTAGTCTCTTTATATTTGGGTATGTCTTTCCTTAGACCAGAAGTTATTACCTAGACTGTGTTCTAGAAGGCACGCTTTGACTGTATACCTCGTCTGCCTGAAACATGGAGACTCATAGGTACACTGTTAGGCTTGTACTGAAAGAGCACAAGGCTAGGGTGATAAGCTGAAGGAATTCGTCAAATCTCTGTGAGAGATTAGGTTATCTGTAAACCGGAGAAATCAGGATGACATTTACAAGGACTCGGGAATCTATGCATAGTAAAAGAGGTCATGAGATGATCTGTCGTTAGAGTCAGTAAATTGAAGATTCCCTATTTCAAATAAAGCTTACCCTAAACTGCAAGGGTTGATACGTTTCCTTACCCTATGTTTAATGGGAAGGTAACCGAGACGAAAAGAAATACATACGGCAACCAAATATGTGTAATAGGATGATTATGTCATTAACCTAACTAGCTCTGGGGCAACAAAGCATTGCTAGTGCTCTGTGTTGTTATTAGATGGGTTGTGGGCTTGTTGGGCCCAAGCCCATTTATGTCAGTGGCTATGTTGGGCCTAATGGGTCACACACTAACACCTTATTGTCATGATAATATAGCATTAAAGGTATTGGGCCTAAAAATGGTTGTTAGCCCAAGAAGAAGTTTAGAAGCCCACCAAAAAGGAAAAGGGCGCATGGATCATGTAATGGGCTTGGATGGTCCAAGACATTACTAATTAATTTAATTAGTTAAATTAATTATCAAATATTTGAATTTTGAATTTTGAATTTGAAATTCGAATTTTGAAATTTGAATTTTGAAATTGGAATTTTGAATTTGGAATTTTGAATTTGAAATTTGAATTTTGAATTTTGAATTTTGAAATTTGAATTTTGAATTTGGAATTTGAATTTTGAATTTAAATGTTTGAACGTTTGAATTTAAATGTTTGAATTTGAATTTGAATTGGCTATGAAAAGTTGTTTCATAACAAAAGGATAAGGTAAGATCTTGTTGGAACAAATCCCAAGTATCAAGGGGAGATCTTTGAGCATCATCCAAGGTTGATATGGGACGCTGATTTTGGGGTCTTGTGCTGGTCATAGGATCAACCAAATAAGCTCCAATCAGATTTAGTTTGTTGAGAGAATAAGTGAGTGAGTAGGTTCAAGTTTGAATGCAACTACTCAACGTATCTGGATTGTTTTGAGGCTTAATGGGGTGCACCATATGGCTGGCCATATGATGGTTGTTAAGTCAGATTTTTGTTGAAATATGCACTTGATATCATGAGGATATGATAGGAGGTTGTTGACAAGATTTGATTTGCAACAACTCCACTCATTCCTCTCCTAGTGTGCGCTACATAGGGCTGATTTTTTAGTGAAGAAATCAGATTTTATTCACTCATTCTCTCATCTCCTTTGGTCATCCTTTTGTGAGGTTTTTCTTAAGAGAGTTTTGAAAATTATCTAGCACTTTCTAAGTGAATTTCATGCGCCACTTTTGTGTTTTTTCTTGCTGAAAATTCACTCAACTAAACACCTTGAAACCTTGCCTCTTACCTCTCCATTAGGGACGCCTAGCTTGCCTCCCTTGGTGTTCGTTGGTGGCCGTGAAGAAGAGTTCTTCCATCTTGACAAAGGGTGGTGTGGATCAACATTAGAGGGCTTGTATCTTCAAGCATCACCTTGATCATCTTCAAGTTTTGGAAAGCAAACAAGGTAACATCCATGTCCTTTCTTGATATGGTATGTGTAATTCTGCTTTGAAAATTTTGTTTTCATCCTCACATGCCTACGGCCTTCAAGGCCATTTAACTTTCATATATATAATATAATTTATATTTAATACATAAAACAGTCCATAATAAGTCATATAACCAATCAAATATTCAAATTTCATAACATAAATATAAAGCAAAAGTAATTTTTCATACCTTGCTAATTTTTTATGTAAAATTTCGTAACAGAAAAAAATTGACTTATAAATTAATATTTCACTTTTAATTAATAAAATAAAATTTAGATCTTAAAAAAATGTGTCGGGCGTTGACCGCATGTCGAAAACACGTGTCAGAGCATGTAAAAATATTGACCATGTGTCCCAAAATATTAATTGTGTATTGTGTCCGACACACAATTTTTTTTTGAAAAAACATGTCCGTGCATTTTATCCCAACAATTTTCTCCACTAGATTCTTCGCTTAACTATTCAGAATCCCATTTTCTTGGTGTTTAATAATGAATCTCAGTCTAATTGCAATGTTCATCCCTTATTCTTTAATATCCAATTAAGATACACACTACACATTAATTAAACTTGTAATTGAAATTTTAGACTTATACTCTACTCGCTACCGTATAACTTATTACAAAGTACAAACAACATCATATTAATTATAATTCACTAAACAATAAAACAACAACATCGGGTTATTTGAATCAATGCACTGGAGTAGTTCCCTTTTGAGGGCCCTTTTTTTTTTTTGGTATCCAAGGCCCCTATTTATTACACAGGTTTATTAGCTAAAATGAAATTTCGCTCTAATAGTAGTACCAAAGGTGAGCAAATATTTTTTTTTGGTCCATCTGCCAAGAATGAGAAAAAAAAAAAATTTGTTGATAAGTAAATATTTTTTTTTATCCTCAGCAAATTTCACGATATCTATTTAGTTCCTAGTAAATAAAAAGGTTATTTGTGGTCCTTAAAAAAATTTAAAATAGACTCATTTAATTAAAATTGTGATTTCTCATAAATTCAAAAAAAATCCACATTAATTCTTTAAAAAACTAAAATAAATTCACTTCAAATTTTTAACAACCATAAATAACTTTTTATTTGCTAGTTTGGGACGACGGAAAAATACTATTTACTCTTTTTGTTTTTGTTCCAACCTTGTACCTAACCAACGAGGCAGCTCTTGGCAGAGATCTGTGTGTACTCCCTTCTCTGTTTCTCTTTCTTTTTTTCTCAAACTGTAACGCTACACAACCATGTCTTCATTCCGATCTCATCACTGCAACAACAACAACTTGCACTAATAATTTATCTTCGCCCCTAAATCATCTCAGTGGGTTCATTTCAGCTCTCTCTCTCTCTCTGTTCATTGGGTTCATCCAAAACAGTCACTATGCAACGAAATGCTTCATAAACCGCATCATCACAAGCTCTCGAATCCAAGTGGGTATCGTAACAAAAAAAAGACATGGTCTTTGGCGAAGTCTCAAGTGCTGTCAAAAACAACCTGCGAATCTCCTCGTCCCTTCAGGATCTCTCCTCGTACCGCCACCTCGATCTCGAAGATGGCGGCGACACCGGTGGGTCCCACTTGAAGAAACCCCATCATCATCTTCTCCGCAGGGAAAGCCTCGGGTCAAGTTTCTCCAAGGCAAAACCGGTTCAAGGTGGAAGCCCGGTTCGCAAGAACCTGAAATGGGTCAGACCGATCGCACTGGTTCTGTGTCTTGCATTGTTCATTTTTCTTATTTACACGTTTATTTATTCTCATTGGAATCGAGGGTCAGCGAAGTATTATGTTGTGCTTGATTGTGGTAGTACCGGGACTCGTGTTTATGTCTATAAGGCTGAAATTGAACACAAGGATGATACTACTCTTCCAATAGTTATCAAATCAATGAGGGATGGTTTGAATAAGAAGCGTGGTTCTCAAACCGGGCGTGCTTATGATAGAATGGAAACTGAACCGGGTCTTGATAAGTTGGTTCACAATGTTTCAGGTTTGAAGGCTGCACTGAAACCACTTGTTAAATGGGCACAGAAGCAGATACCTCAAGATTCTCATAAGGGTACTTCAGTTTTCCTTTATGCTACTGCTGGTGTTAGGAGGCTTCCCATTGCTGACTCTAAATGGTTGTTGGATAATGCTTTGAATGTACTTAAGGGTTCTCCTTTTGTGTGTAGAAAGGATTGGGTTAAGGTTATTAGTGGAACAGAAGAAGCTTACTTTGGATGGATTGCACTTAATTATCATAGTGGTATCTTGGGTGTTAAACCGAGGAAAGCAACTTATGGTGCACTTGACTTGGGTGGTTCGTCGTTACAAGTTACATTTGAGGGTGATCAACAGTTGAATAGTGAGACTAGCTTGTATGTTAGGATTGGATCAGTGAATCATCATCTCACTGCGTATTCTCTAGCTGGCTATGGTCTCAATGAGGCTTTTGACAAATCCGTGGCGCGTCTTTTTAAGGAGAAGTTTGGGTCCACTAATGTGGATCTAGTTGGTGGAAATGTTGAACTTAAACATCCTTGCTTACAATCTGGGTATAAGAATCAATATACCTGCTCTCATTGTTCTTCCAGTAACCAAGAAAGTGAAAGTCCTAGAATTGATGGGAATGTGTTGGGTAAAAAAGGAAAATCAAGAATTCCGGTATTGCTTATTGGTGCTCCGAATTGGCAACAATGCAGTGCACTTGCGAAAGTTGCTGTGAATTTGTCTGAATGGTCTGATCTCAGTCCGGGACTTGATTGTGAAGTGCATCCTTGTGCTTTGCTTGATAATCTTCCTCGACCGTTAGGCCACTTTTATGTGATTTCTGGATTTTTTGTAGTGTATCGGTTTTTTAACTTAACTTCTGAAGCCACACTTGATGATGTGTTGGAAAAGGGTAGGGATTTCTGTGAAAAAAAATGGGAAGTTGCTAAAATAAGTGTTGCTCCTCAGCCCTTTATTGAGCAATACTGCTTTAGGGCACCTTATATTACGTCACTGCTGAGAGAAGGTTTGCACATTACTGATGGCCAGATAACTGTTGGCTCTGGAAGTATCACTTGGACACTTGGGGTAGCCTTGTTGGAAGCTGGGAAGGCATATTCAGCTAGATTTGGGCTCCCTGATTTTGACTTGCTTCAGATGAAGATAAATCCTCTTATTCTTATTCCCATTTTGATACTTTCTGTCATTCTTCTATTCTGTGCTTTATCATGTGTTGTCAATTGGATGCCGAGATTTTTCCGGAGGCAATATCTTCCCCTTTTCAGGCATAATAATGTGTCCGGTGCATCTGTTCTTAATATCCCATCGCCTTTCCGGTTCCAGCGATGGAGTCCAATCATTTCTGGTAAGCTGTTTATGCGAATGATTTTTTTATAACTCAATAATTTAACGTCTGAACATACCACAATTAAAAAACAAAAAATGAATCTATACTATTCTTTCTTGTCAGGGTTATGCATTCCATTTTCACAGCTGATGATTTATAATGTAATGAATTTGCTGCAACTTGAACATTTGTGAATATTTTCTAATTATTTATTGTCAATGTCATGTATTCATTTAGAAACAATTTGTGAATTATAATTCTACTGCCGCATTGGACCTAGGATGATGGGGAAAATGATCTTTATCAACTTTTCTCAATTGGATTCTTGATTTGATTATCTTATGTATAATATTTATTGGGAGATTGAACTATGGAGATTATCTATTTTCAAGAATAGATGCTTGTGTGAAGTCTTCTTTCTTTTCAAATGAACTAGAGTGATGCAAATCCATTTTATGTACCTTAGTGATCCAGTATGTGAAGTGAAATTATCTTCTTAGATAATGTCTTGATTCCTTCTTTGGGAAAAGCAATGTCATAGCCTTACTGGAATATATATTATTTTCTCTATTAGCTACAGAAGGAAGATGATATCATCATAAGGACTGAAGTCAATCAAGTTTTCTTTTTGGTCCAAATTTGTAAATGAATCCTAATTTATATATCAATAAGTTTAGAGTTTTTCCAAAGAATTGCTGATTCATTTCTGTCTAGTAAAGTAACCTGAGCTGCTTTTGTGACGCATCCACAATTAGCTTAGAATCATGCTTGTTGCTTCGTGCATGCATGCGTCATTTTGGACTGATAAAGTATGATCATTTTCTATTTAAATGTATTTTTAGTTTGTTTTATATTCACAATGATGCTTTACTGGTTTACTAGCCATTTACATATAAAATTTGTGGCTTGGGTTTCCCTGAAAAGAATCTAGTGTAATTAGAATGGTTTAAGCAATAAGTTGATGGTTTATAATAATTATTCATCCATCCCACACGACCTCCTGAACTTGAACGGCATTGTTTTATGGTTATTAAATGGGAAGAGCAATGTCACAGCCTTCCTGGATTGATAAAGGCAAAAAATATATATATATATATATATATATATATATATATATATATATATGTGAGGTAAAATCCTTTGACACCAGTGTCAAATTTGAAGTTTGACACCTCATCTGAGAGCCATTAGATCAAAAAAGATCAACGACTCTGATTTGTAAGCATGTGACATCGTTGATCTTTTTCGATCTAACGGCTCTCAGATGAGATGTCAAACTTCAAATTTGACACTGGTGTCAAAGGATCCTACCTCTATATATATATATTAGTTACAGAAGGAAGACAATATTATTATAAGGACTGAAATCAATCAAGTTTTCTTCTTGTTTCAAATTTTAAACGAATCCCAATATATAATTTAAATTTTTTCAGAAGAACTGCTCCTTCATTTCTGTTAGTAAAGGAACTTGAGCTGGTTTTGTCTATTGCATATTTAGAGTCCCCTCACTTAGTTATGGTCAAATGCCAAATATTCTTTTTCTTTTTCCGTTGGATTTACAACATATCCAAAACTATGGATAATTATAAGGCTAGAACATGAATCTGATATGATTACCCATCACAAATTTAATATTCTAACAATTTGTATGTATTGAGTTCATGTTTAGAGTGAATCTATGGCAGATGGGCTTTGAACTGACACACTGAACAATGCTATTGATTCAAACATTGTAATTTATACTACTATGTCTATTTGTATTTTATGCTCATAATGTAACATCTGCAGCTGTTACAACTTACAAATGTGCATCATGTACTTTTACAGCGTGGACATAAAATATCGTAATGTAGACATGTACTATGCTTGGTTTCAGTTTACTTATAGAATATAGGTGGGTTGTTGCTTTTGGATAGTTTAAATGTCTTTGTGCAATCTGTGTATAGTGTTAATATATCTCTATGATTGAGCTTTGAAGCCAATGTACCTATGGTATTGTAGGAGATGCAAGAATAAAAACGCCACTCAGCCCTACAATTACAGGTTCACAAGATAGACCATTTAGCCTGGGGTATGGTCTTGGTGATGACAGTGGCAGCATCCAGCTGATGGAATCTTCCTTTTACCCATCAGCTAGTGGTGTCTCGCATAGTTATTCCTCAAGCAATTTAGGGCAGATGCAGTTTGATGGCAGTAACATAGGGACCTTCTGGTCGCCCCACAGAAGTCAGATGCGTCTGCAGAGTAGGAGATCACAATCTCGAGAAGACCTGAGTTCCTCAGTGGCTGAGGCACACCTGGTGTAGGTTTAGTGCATCATCTTCTGAAAACTTCGGTATGATTACACTAATATCTTCTTGAAAGTTGCATTTTTTTATAGACGAACCATTTTTCTGTTTAGTTTTGCTTTTTCAATTCTTCGTAGGTATTCTTTTCTGTAACATAAGAATAGTTATAGGTAAATAATAGTAAAGCACATGCATTTTCTTTTTGTTGATTGTTCTTTCTATATTTTTTGAAGTTATTAGTAGAAGTTCCTTAACCATGCTAAACAAGATTTCCACACATTTCTCCTTGTTTGTAATTTTGGACTGCCAGTCAAATTGGTCTGCTAAGGAGAAAAAAATTTGGGCATTGCTTGAACATCTTGTCATTATACTGTCATCAGTAATGATACTTGTTCATAAAAGGATATGTCGAGAGTCCCTTCTATATGTTATTTTTCTCTAATTCCTCACTGCAAATTATAAAGGGATTTATTATACATGTCCCAGCATTCAAGTTTTTGTCATGGAGATGACCGTGGGGGCTAAACAAGAGCTGGCGAGATCTTTTAATTCCAAATTAATTTGCTTCTTCTGGATCTCATTTCTAAACACAAGAAGCCAAGCACAAAGAAGCACTCTTGTTCTGTCATTTACCACTCTCCTTTAGTGGCTACTGATGTCTCCATGTTCTGCCTCTACTGTACAGTTTTGGGGTGACCATAAGCCTTCAGATGTTATATAATGAAGCATCAAAGTATCCCAAGCTGATATCAATTAATTTGTCACTGTTTTTATACCAATTTTTGGACTAATAAACCGCCATTATTATAGAGAATCTCCCCTTGTTTTCTTTGCTGACATGATGGCTGAGAAAAACACTTGGAAAAGATAAACCACTTGGAGAAGTTGTAACATAGTACAATGCTCACATCTTATACGTCAATTAAGTTATTAAATTTAGTTTGCAACTTGCAAGCAACTGCTTTTTAAAGACTAACTGCAACTTTCCTTGTGAAGTAAAGTGTTTCTGAATATTTATATACCAAACAGCATTTCCATAACGTTTAGTATTGCTTTTAGATCGATTATCCCTAAATAAAGGGTATTGCTTTGGATGCAAACCATCTATTTTACATGTTCTCATGAATGCATTTGGAATTGTTTTACGTTTTGGCAATTTTTTTTTTTTTTTTTTGGTACATACGTTTTGGCAATTATTTATTAATCTTAAGAGTGTAAAACTGGTCATGAATAAAATTAAAACACGGGAAGGTCAAGAATGCTCTGCACGAATCTATCGTGACTTACTAACTCTCAGAAAAAGAGGGACACGGAAATTGTACTTGCTTAGATGTGTTTCCTGAACTGGTTCAGATGCAGCTTTTGGTCTTCTTTTATGGTAATTTGATAGATGTTGAAAGTGATTCCTTCCGTGTGCTAGAGGTGATATTGTATCTGCAAAAACTCCAAATAATGCGGAGAGATCAGAGATCATGGAGATAATGCAGTTATTCATAGGAGATTCCCATGACGTATGTTAGTATATGGATGTCCTAGAGACAATCTTTTGATTAGATTAGGACATATGTAGACCTTTTATATTGTCACAAATAAAAGCACTATTTATCCTGTTTCATATTTTGTCTCAATATTACTATTAATATTTATATGAGTAACTGAATAAATCCCTTGGAATAAAATAGGTATCTCTTGAGTATCTATGATGAGATCACGATCATGAGGATTTAAGGATACTGCATGTTTATTCCTAATTTTATGTTCCTAGTCTAGAGACACTGAGAATGGGGATCAGTGATCTCGGGTAAGACTAGCACGACTTATCTACTTGTATTTGGATGCAAGGTAAAGACCTCATGAGTTACAGATATGGAGATGTCTTAGCTAAAGTCGTGGGTGGACCTATAAGGGTATAGCTCGCACTGAACAGACCCACAAAGAGACTCTATGAGGAACTCTCACAGAGAGTATCATTAGAGTAGTCTCTTTATATTTGGGTATGTCTTTCCTAAGACCAGAAGTTATTACCTAGACTGTGTTCTAGAAGGCATGCTTTGATTGTGCACCTCGTCTGCCTGAAACATGGAGACTCATAGGTATACTGTTGGGCTTGTCCTGAAAGAACACAGGGCTAGGGTGATAAGCTGAAGGAATTCGTCAAATCTCTGTGAGAGATTAGGTTATCTGTAAACCGGAGAAATCGGGATGACATTTACAAGGACTCGGGAATCTATGCATAGTAAAAGAGATCATGAGATGATCTGCCTTTAGAGTCTGTAAATTGAAGATTCCCTATTTCGAATAAAGCTTACCCTAAACCGCAGGGGCTGATACGCTTCCTTACCCTAAGTTTTATGGGAAGGTAACCGAGACGAAAGGAAATATATACGGCAACCAAATATGTGTAATATGATGATTAAGTCATTAATCTAACTAGTTCTGGGGCAACAAAGCATTGCTAGTACTCTGTGTTGTCATTAGATGAGTTGTGGGCTTATTGGGCCCAAGCCCATTTATGTCAGTGACTATGTTGGACATAATGGGTCACACACTAACACCTAATTGTCTAGATGCTCTAGCATTAAAGGTATTGGGCCTAACAATTGTTATTAGCCTAATAAGTAGTTTGGAACTCCACAGATAGGGTGGAGGGCGCATGAATCAAAGTAATGAGCTTGGATAGCCCAAGACATTACTAATTAATTTAATTAGTTAAATTAATTATCAAATGTTTAAATTTTGAATTTTGAATTTGAAATTTGAAATTTGTATTTTGAAATTTGAATTTGAATTTTGAAATTTGAATTTTGAATTTGAAATTTGAAAATTGAAATTTGAATTTTGAATTTTGAATTTAGAATTTGAATTTAGAATTAGAATTTGAATTTAAAATTTAAGTGTTTGAAAGTTTGAATTCAAATGTTTGAAATTTGAATTTGAATTGGCTATGAAAAGTTGTTTCATAACAAAAGGATAAGATGAGATCTTGTTGGAACATATCAGGAGGAGATCTTTTGGACATAATCCTAGGATAATGGGGTGCTGATTTTGGCTAGATTTGATCATCAAAATCAGCTCCAGAAGATACGGTCTGTTGGGAGAATATTTGAGTGAGTTGATGCAACTAACTCAAATGTATCTGGTCACCTTTTAGGCTATATGGGGTGCACCATATAGCTGATTATATGATGATTCATGATCAGATTTCTGACTATGTTTTGAACTTAGTCTCATGAGAATGTTCTGGGATGTTGTTGGCAATTTTTGAAATGCAACAACTCCACTTATTCTCTCCCCAAGGGCGCCATTTTGATCAGATTTTTGGGAGAAAAATCTGATTTGTTTTTGAAACTTAAAAGGCTCCTCTTGTGTGCTTAAGTAGTAGTTAGTTCCTCCTTAAGTTTGTGTGTGAAAAGCCAAGCCTTTCTCTACTCATCTATGCGCCCCTTGTGAGGTTTTCTCTTAGAACACTTCACTCTTCTAAACACTTTTACCTAGCCTCCTGCATCACACACTGAGCGCATAGCAAGCCTTATTGTGGTGATCAATCGGCGGTCTTACTGGAAGGAGTTCCTGTATCTAGACGCGGGTGGTGTGGATCAACGTTAGAGGGTCTGAACCCTTCAGACCTACCTTGATCATCTTGAATTTTCACGAACAAATTATGACATACGTCTTAAAGTATGTATCTTGATATGCATGTGTGTTCTGCTTGCGAAAAATTTTGTTTTTCCCTCACGCATGTTTCGGCCTTCAAGGCCAATTCTACTTTCACAGTATATATTGGAAATGAGTCAACATCATTAGAGCATAAATAACTAAATAAAAGCAGTATTGTATCACAGTATAAGTTTTTTATAATAATGTTATGGACCCATATAAGGGGTCCGTTAATTGACAGGCCCAACAAGGGGCAATCCAAGATCTGAATCAATAATAATCATGGATAGATATCCATCAAGGATACTAATCTTAATACGACAGCATAGCAAGCAGGTCTGGGCCCTTACCAGAGGCACCAAAAGCCCATCCACGCTACCCACCGGTAACCTCTATAAATACAAGGTAAACCCTAAAAGTACGTTAGGCTCTCTCCCTTACTGTTATGATGTCACTGTGCGCACACACACACACCCTATTGGCTAGCACCGTTATAGTATTCTGTGCACAGTGATCTGCTTGACTCAAGAGTATCTCCTTCATAGATACCTTGGAGAGGGCACTAGATCCAAGAGAAACATACCAGCCTATCGGGCTGGACATCTCTGCGCCGTCTGTGGGGAATTCTTCTCTGAATTTGAAGTTCCCACTAATTTGACGAAGGATGGCAATCCAAACAAGGAGCAGTAGCCAGCAGCCACCCCAAAACCAGAACCAACCGCTGGACCCAGTTTTGGAAGAGGCAAATCAGCCTCAACACCAGCTAGGGAACGATGTAGATTATGATCACGTCCATGTCAGCGAAGATGTCTCAGACACCACTTCCTGACACGAGCTGTCGAACTCGCGCAAATTAAAAATTATTTTTAATTAGGGTTCAGAAAATTTGCAGTAAAGTGGAAACCCTAAGTCGTCTCTCAAGGAAATTGTTTTGGTTAAAATCGCTTATGAGAACAGAAAATTAAAAGGGGGGTTTTGGATTTTGATTTAATAATTAAAAAGTCAGAATATAAATTTGGAATAAAAATTCGTAATTAAAAATAACCAACCTAAGGTTTGGGATCCATGGACGTCTTTCCTCGGATAAGAAAATATCAGAATCGTGATTGATTTGTCAATCGGATCAGAATCCTTATTTCCAATTGACAACCCTCTCTAAGCGATCGCTTAGCATTTGATCAAAGACGATGCTTCTACTCATACAATCGCAGAGTATCAGCCCGCTTGATTTAAGGTCATAGGGTCAATCAACCTAATCATCAAATCTGATGATCAATCCCTTTCCATAATCGCAATTGCGAACCTCAGATTGAATATCCACGATCGCACGATATCAATCTGAGTTTGGAAGGGAAACGAAAACTGATTTGAAATAAACGCAGACCCTCAAGACTAATCCATGGAATCCATTACCCTTAGGTTGATTAAAAGGTTCTTAGCCTCGCATGGCTAAGGTAAGCATAATTGAAATAAGAAGAAGAAGAAAAACGCGAAGAACGCTTCAGAGAGAATACTTTTCTGTTGTAAACACTGACTACTAAGGGTTTCCTAGAGTCCCCTTTAAATAGCTGTCACGCAGGACGACTAGGGTTTCATCGCTTCAGCCCAAACATAAAATAAAAACCGAATAAAATAAAATGAAACAATAAAACTTGGCTTTGGGCCACTTAAGTAATTGGGTTTTAATTTAAATTACAAGCCCAATAGTCAAACAAAACTTCAGCAAAACGCGTCCAACTTGGCGTCCGAAATCGACCAGCTTCCAGTTCGAATTGGGCTTCGAGCTCTTCATAAGAATTGTAGCTCTCTGTGTTATCTGAAAAACCCAACAAGAATGGAGTCAATCCGACAACTATGGACCGAGATATGGCCAAAATACAGAAGTAACGTAAAGCTGAAAAATTCTGACGAAAATAAATTAAACCCAATCAAAAACTAAAAACCTAAATTAACTCTAACAATCATTATTTTATTCAAATAAATCCTAAAAATACTAATCAAGAGTGACAAATAAGTGTAACAAAATATGTGTTATCACTTCCTCTCCAGCGAGTCGTGATAGGGGTGTTGATCCAATCATGGCTCCAGTAAGGAACAACCCTCCCCAGCACCCCGGGGATCTTGCAGTGCTTATTACCCAATCAGCCGATCCAGATACTCAGCTGGCTCAGAATGCATTCGCTTCGATTATGCAGCGAATGGCAGAGATGGAAAATCGCAATAACCTCCAGCGGCAACAAGATTTCCAAACAATACAAGAGGAAAATACCAGGGGAATGTGAGACCTGGAACAACGCATAATGGGGTTAACTGGA